GCCTCCTGCTGCGAAACTGCAAACATGAACCGTGAAAGCCCGAAATACCCACCAAAAGAGACTATCGGGGACATTGGTTTAATAGGGGGTTGCATTCGGTGCATGATTCGGGGGTTGTTATTTCCTGGAGGCCTTCGGTATGAAATAGGGGTAACATGACGATGTTCATCATGGGGTGGTATAATCGTGACTTCGACTGTTGTGGTGCCACTTTGGGATTTAAAGCTGAGTCGGGGGTTTGTTGTGATTGGTATAAACCCCAACCCCGAACCCTTAAGCCCGAAACCGTTTCTATATATATATATATATATATATATATATATATATATATATAGGGGTATAAACCCCAACCCCGGCCCCGAACCCTTAAGCCCGAAACCGTTTCTATATACCCACAACCCCCTCTCTCTCGCAGTCCAAACCCAAACCCTCAACCGTGTAATAAAAGGCTCCAGAACATCCTGGAAATTGGGATTTGGGGCTTGGCACTTGGGGTTTAAGGTCTAGGCGCTCATAGGGTTTAGGGTTAGGGGGTCCAGGGTTTTGGGGTTTTAAACTGCACAGAACGGATTGAATCTGATACAAGTATATAGCTTATATATATATATATAGGAAACAGAAGTGCAAATGCATATAGATAAATGATATATATATATAATATTTAAATAAAACATAATATGTATAGATACATTCATATATATATATATATATACATACACATAAGTATATAAGGGCTTGTATATGAGATTTGCTAGTCTAGCATCAAGCATCAACCCCAACACCACCATATGCTTCTAGACATCTCACTATCATCATCGCCACCCCCATGCTTAACCCGAAATCCTGGAATCCCAAGCCGGCCCAAAACCCAAGACCCTGATTTAATCCGGCCTCGAGTGGCCCACCACAGCCGACGATGCCGAAGTTGCACAGTCACACCTTTCTAGAGCAGGATGTGTGTGTGTGTGTGATGCTTGTGTGGTGTTGCTTTGAATTTCGCATTCCTCGAAGTCTGAATCTCTCAACCTACCGATGCTTTGCGACTCGATACACACAATGCTCTCATGGTCCACTCAACCTACCGCCGCTCGACAGAATGCTCTCATGGTCCACTCAAGGTTCACACAACATGCATGACAGCAAAGCTCACAGCATCACACAGCTCGCAACAGCCATTGATCACAAAGCTGCACTCTGATTTTGGGGTCGCCACCGAAGCAGCATACACACAGCTTCCACGAATCTGTCCACGTTGATCCTTCGCAGATGTATGGCAAAAAGCGCCCATCCTGCATGTCACATCTGATTCCGTGGAGGGACGAAAGCCCTCGCTTCTATAGCAAACAGGCCTCACACACATCTCCCATCTGATTCCGTGGAGAGACAAGCACTCTCGCTTCTATAAAAGCCACACAAGTGACCATTCCATGGGCTCAAAATCTGACTGTGCAAGCTACACAGTCTGCTCAGGAAATAAAGCGACACACGACTTCTTCTTATGCTTTTTTACTTAGAACTATTGTGTTTTCAAGTTCAAAACCCCATACAGAACTATGCAGCAGCATGCTCCACGGGCTTTGTGCACAACTGCATACGGTTCCTATCAAAGCAATCAGCACAAACGTACTATAGTCACTGCACTATAACACCTATCAACCAACATGTCTGATTGTGTGCACACACAGAGGAATCTAATCTTCAGGCTCCTTGTCAGCACCCTCGGGGTTAGCAGCATCAGCAGGACACTCAGAGTCATCCTCTCCCTCCATGTCCTTGAGCTTCAATTTGGCCCTCTTCTCCTTGGGATTCTCCGAGTCAAACTGATCACCTGCACGTTTGGCAGCAGCACGACCAAGTTCGGAAGCCGCCTCCTTCTCAAGACCCGCCTTCATTTGCCGATCTCTCTCGTTGTGGTAGGCTTTGGAGACCACTCGTTTCCGGATGGCTGTTCTGTCCATCTTCATCTTCTTCTTCTCTACACCATCATGCTCATCCTCGGGGAACTCCTCGGCCTTCACCGCAGACTCAGGCTCAGGCTTCACCTTAGTGTTGTGCAACTCGGGCTTCTCCTTCTTAGTCTTCTTCTCACCTTTGGCCTTCGCGTCGCCTTGGATTTCGGTGTCGACTTTGGGCTCGCCTTCGATTTCGGGGTCGACTTCGGGGTAGCCTTGGCTTTCGGGTCCGACTGCTTAGACTTTGGGCTCTCCTTGCTCTTAGGGATCTCTGGGCTCTTCTTGGAGTGCCTGATTGCGGGAATCGTATCCTTCTCTTCGGAGATCTCGGGGGCTTCGCCGTCCGGGGACTCGATGGGCTTCTTGACCTTGCTTGGCGCTGAAGACCTGGACTTAGTAGGGATCGCATTCTCAGTCTTCTGATTCGCCTCGCTCTTCTTGTTCGCCTCTCCGTTCTGCTTGCCTTTCCCTTTCCCTTTCCCTTTCCCCTTCTTCTCAGGGCAGTTTTTGCGGAATATGATCAACTGGGCTTTGTTGTCCAAGGGCTCCACAGATTCGGCTTGGCTCAACAAATAGCTGAAGTGCACGTCCATGGGGCTGCTGCTTGTGCTTGTTGTAGCAGCAGGTGGGGCCCGACTGCTGCTACTAGGTCCAGGAAGATCTTCGCTCTCTGCCTCTTCTGAACTTACTCTGCTCAGAACTCTGTCAAAGACTGCCATGGGGTCGAGCCGACGGAGGCTGGGCTTTGGTCTAGGGTCGTCTTCCAAGGCCAGGGGCCTTGCAACCGCAGGCCTTGCATCTTCAGGCCTTGCATCTGCAGGCCTTGCATCTGTAGGCCTTGCATCTGCAGGCCTTGCATCAGCGGCACCATCTGTCAAAGCAAGCATTCCCGGAGGAGGCTCGCTGACAGACTCCTGAGATCCGTCCTCTAGGACGGGACCACAATTCATGATGTCGAGGACATCCTGCACAGCCGTTTGCTCAGCCGCTGTCATCATAGCAAAGCACCGCTGCTTGGTCTTGGCTTCCACCTTGAGGCACCTGAACATGGCACACCCGATCCTGATGCCTTCATCAGTCAAATCGATGAAGTCGTTGTCCGATTTCCGAGTGTGATTAATTTTCTCCTCCTGCTCGTTCATTTTGGCCAAGGCTGTTCTGACCTTCTTCGGGCTGAGCATACCGTTCGGAGCGAGGAGCATGAGCTCTTTGTAGAGGTCGGCAGCACCCGCCATCCAGGAGCCTATCGGGGACTTTTTGAAGGTGAGCCCGCGAGGCAAGTTCAAGGCCTTGAAGAAATCCGTAGTCTTTCGGGATTTCAGCCACTTGCTGAGCACACCTGTGATATCTTCCACACCGATCGTGGGATCGGCGACCAACCGTCCCGTCTGTCCGGTGAGAGCCATGCTGCGGCAGCAGGGCAGCTGTACAAAAAAGCTTGTGAAACCGAAAGCGGGGTCGCTATACTTACTACCGAGCACAGAAAGCCCGAGTCCTGCCGGCAACATGTGAAACACAGGATTCAGACCTCTCAAGGTCGTTTACAGATTGTGTCCCCGCAGACACAACTGCTCCTAGCCCTCGAGGTAAACACTCTCTGTGCAACACTGAACTTTCAAAGTAAAAACTCTCTGCACAACACACTAAACTCTCAAGGTGTAAGATATATGTGCTGTCAAAGTCTCACACCTCTCTCAAGGTCATCTACATATTCCCTCCAACTGCTCAGACACGTGCAAATTCAATCTCTCAAGGTAAATACCCTTTGTCAACAGCAAAAACTCTCATGGTGTAATATATCCTCTCACAAGGTCTGACACACCTCTCACAAGGTCACATCTACATATATTCCCTCCACAACTGCTCCTAAACATGCAAAAGTCTCACATACCCTTGTTGTACAACACTAAACTCTCAAGGTGGGGTATACTCTCAAAATTATAACACACCTCTCAAGGTCATCTACATATTCCCTCCAACTGCTCCTAAACATGCAATGCTCGAGGGTATATATACCCTCTGTTCAACACTAAACACCCTCATGGTCAGTATATTGCATATGGCTCTCTTATATAAGGTTTCTCTCTACTCTATGAAATATATAACTGTCGGGGCCCGTTGTGTTTGCTGAAGCTGTTTACATATGTTCTCAACCTGCTCTATACTCTCTAAAAAGTGTTCAAGCTGCATTACTTTTTAAAACCTACATATATTCCTAGTGCCGAAAATCTCACTCATAGACTTATATATTCTGCATGCGACCACACCTGGTTCCATACCACATGCTTTTGTCCCGCATCATAGACCCGCACACACACACACAGACACACACACACACACACACGGTGTCAATTGTTGGTTTCGTTCACACCCAACTCTCAAGGTATATGCTGGTGTGTGCCAAATATAGAGCCAGCATGTATAGCAAAGGCATCTCAGGACCCAAAAACCGGGTCGGTCGTCTCGGAAAACAAAACTTCGCTATCCCCCAACAAAATTCACCACATGCTGGAAAATCAAAAGCTTCGCGAATATAATATATATATATATATATATATATAGAGAGAGAGAGAGAGAGAGAGAGAGAGAGAGAGAGAGAGAGAGAGAGAGACAGACAGACAGACAGACAGACAGACAGACAGACAGACAGACAGACAGACAGAGACCAAAAAACAAAGAGACAGAGAGGCAGAAAGACCGACAGAAAGAAAGACAAATATATATACATATATATCTTGCTATACACCAGAGAGGGGTCGAAGTTTCGACCCCCGAGGGGTCGAAGTTTCGACCCCTGGGGGTCGAAGTTTCGACCCCTGCCGGGCCAGACCTAGATCCAAAATCGCAGGAATTCGGGAAGTGTGATTTTGGATATAGATCCAAAATCACAGGTCGAAAATAAAACTGTGATTTTGGATCTGGGATCCAAAATTTTGCGCTGTGATTTTGGAGAACTTGACGCTGGGATTTTGGATATCATATCCAAAATCACAGGATAAGATAAATATCTTGAATTCCTGTGATCCAGGAGATCCTCCGGTCTTCTGGTCAAGATAACTTTCGGCCTAACCCGGTCTGTGGGGTATTCCTGGGTCCGGACAGCGCCTGCCACAGGTCCCAGAAAGCCCACTGGAGAGTGCCCCATTTGCTGAGAAACCGGCAGGCCTTCAGCATCCCTCGATGGTTGGCACGCACGAAGGCCAAGGCCGAAGGGACATGTTGGCGCTGGGCGCCCGCAACGCCGCGGGCAACTGACTTGCAGGCATCTGCGAGCAAAGCACACCAGGGGACAGCACGATTCCATGCCGCGTCGAAGAGATCCCACACCTCGGTAGGTGCCCGGCCAACGAGCTGGACGACTAGGCGGGTGCGAGCAACGACAACAGCATGCTCAGGGGCCGTCAGTCCAAGAAGGCAGAGAAGCACGGACCGGTGCAGGCGGTGGCCGAAGCGCCATGATCCACACACTACCCGGGCAATCCGCTCGAACAGGCCGTGCAAAGGCGCGGTAGCCCGTTCGGACACCGCGACTGAGGTAGCAAGTGTTGCGTACGCCGCGGGCAGGATCCTACCAGCGACCCACGCTTGCCGAAGTGCCCAAGGTAGCGCGTCGCTGCTAATCAAGTTGCGACCGTGAGCCCACGCAGTGCGTCCTCCCTGAGCACAAAGCTCAGAATCTCTGCGGCCGTTATCCTTGGGATGCTGGACAACCCCAAGATACCTATATTCAGGTGTCAGTCGCAACTCGGCACCATTAGGGAGGGTTAGCGGTCGGGTCGACCCAAGCATTTCACCTCGTACGGCCTTGGCCTCATTGCCTCTGATGTCAAGGAGAGCCTCGGTTTTCCCTTCCCCAAGGTTAACGGAAAAATGCAGGGCATGCAAGGTGTCTATGACAATTTCCGCAACCCGGGGCAGTTCGCGAGGACTAGCGTAATCAGTAATGACCGCGAGGTCGTCAGCCCACCCTATCTGAAGCGGGGTGGGGGGGGATCCGGAGGCGAAACAAGCAGCCTGGCAAGTTAGACCGTCCTTAGCACACACAGCTTCAATGTGGCGTAGCGCAATGGCGAAGAGGGAGCCAAAGAGGATATCAGCTAGTCCGTCGCCAGGTCGTGAGCCCCGAGTTGCAAGAAACAGACGGTCGGACCCCACCAAGTGCCAGTGAGCACAAGCGACACAGTCCTTGAGGAGCGCAATTTCTTCCTCCGGGACACCGAGAAGCTGAAGGGCGCCCGCCCGTGCCAATTGGTCAACGAGAGCGCTCAAATGATATAGCCGCTGTTCGCTGGGCTCCAGAGACAAAGGGCCGCCATCGAAGATGAGGTCCCTGCTCGCCTCATAATAGGCGGCCTTGATATCAACAAAGAGAACCGCAACACTCCGCTGTGCCTCGACACAAAGTGACCACGCGCAACGGAATGCAGTAACCGCGAAGTGGACAGGCATGCCTGGGCGACCTCCGAGTTGGAGTCCTTGGTAACGGCGTAGAATCGAGTGCCCGATACCTTTCCTGAGGTATCCATGGTACACCTTGGCCATGCCATTCAGCAGTGCGATAGACCTGTAGTTTTGTGGAAGGGCAGCTGGGCCCTTCTTATACAGGGCGCATATGAGAGCGAGCTTGAACTGGGGCGGCTCGCGGCCCGTCAGCGCGATGCCAGTGCAGACACGCCAGAACCAGAGGCCCGCAGAAACGGGAAAGTGTTTCCAGAGCTCGTTAAGCACGGGGCCAGGAGCCTTCCCGGCCTGCTGCCTACGACAAGCAGCCTCCATCTGGAGGAGAGTCGGTACCGCCTGTGGACAAGGTACCGTGGGAGAGTGGGCCCAGGATCGCTGGGCAGCACGAATTTGCTCGTGCGTAACAGCGCGCCCCCCTTCCTGGGCTCTGAATTGTTCTTCGAGTTCTTGCTCGATATTGTAGCCGCCCGCTGCGTGGACGGCTCTCCGCTCAGCAGCACGACGCGAGGCCCATCGCAGCTTGGAGATGGACTCAAGAGCTCGGCCTTCCTGATGCCAGAGCTCAACTGCGGAGGCCGTGAGATGGATGAAATGTTGCACTTTGTCCTTTTTTGCAGAATTGTGTGCAATGCGACTGAGGCGGAATTCCTGTGATAACATCGCAGCCTCAAGCAGACGCTGTTGATGCCAGCGGAGGTGGGGTAGGCGGTCTCCATAACAGCGCTGCCTCCACCCTCCGAAGCAGAGCGAAAGGAGCAGCGCGCGACCGTTTTGCTTGACTAAGCGGCACTGGGCCCGCCAGTCCCTGAGCCGACCTAGAAGCTGCAAAGTCTTGGCCTGGATATACCGCTGCTTGAGTACCAGAGGAGAGCGCGAGGGCAAGGCCTGCCTCCAGACTGAGTAGACATCCAGCAGCTGCTGGACCTGTGCAGGGCAGCCAACAGGCGTTTGACGCTGGATGCGGGACCAGATGTCGCTGCCGGCCCCACGCACCTCGGCCGGAAGACACTTCCGCTGCCGAGGGCGGGGCACCGCCGGGGCAGTCGCCCTAAGGATCGTATGTGCCCAAAGGGCGACGTGATCTTGCTGCACATTTACGATGTCAAAGGCTAGGGCTTGGCTAGACCTCTCAACCTCCCAGGGACCGGCTTGGAAGAGAAGGTGGTCTAGCCGTTTCCTCCGGCCACTAGTGTGCTGCCAGCTCCAACCTTCTCCAACTTGGGTGTCACTGAAGGTGGAAGGGGCGAAAAGGCCGAACCGCAGACACAATTCGAGAAGAAATTCATCGTTACGAGAAGGCTCGTGCTGGGATATCAAGGTGCCGATCAGCACTCCCTCATCGTCGGCAGAACAGAAGTCGCCGTTAGCGTCGAGCCCAAGCACAATGGCACGCCGCCTGGGCGTGGCTTGAAGGACGGTCGCTAGGAGGTCCCAGAAGGCCCTTGCTTCAGCATCGGGTCTGTCAGAATGTGGGGCGTGCGCAGAGCAGATAGTGACCGGAAACTGCTCAGAAACGCAAGTGATTACAAGGAGACGTGGGCAACTATGCAAGATGCGCCAGTCACCCAACTGCAACGGTGGCGAGACGATGCCCGGTTTAACCCAAATTTCGCAGCCATACTGACCTTTCCAGGCTCCGGAACGCCATGTGAGCCAACCGCCAACCGCCCACCGGCCTGCCTTACTCCGGGCTTCCTGCAAGCAGAGGATATTGATGCCAAGCTGGCAGGCCTGGCTCATCAGGAACTGACGCCGAGCAGCATGTCCCGAGGGGTTGAACAGATTAGAAGGAGCATCTTTGATGGATTGAATATTTGCGGTCGTAATGCAGAGCGGCACCGGTGTGGGAGTATCGGCGTTGCTCAGAGGAGCAGTGTCAACAGAGGTCTGCGGTGGGGACCACCCAACATCCCCGATCGCAAGTGAGAAACAGGGCCGCCCGCCATGCATCTTGGCCTGCGGGATGAGCCAGAGCCAGGGCGCTAAGGCTTGGAAGGTCGAGTGCCACGGCAGTGCATGAGGCGGTCTAACATCACCATAATCCAGAACCCAAGTGGCTAGGGCATCCGCGAGCGTGTTTAACCATTATTCCTGTGTGGCTATGCACATGCCTGAAGCTGGTCGACACCCGAGCTTGTACAGCTTGCCAAAGGGCACGTGTGCTGGCGGCCCAGGGCTGAGCGGCCGCCGCGTGCCCAGCCGCGACTGTCAGTGCTGAGGAATTGTCAACTGCAAGGGTGGTGAGACGAGGGGAGGATCGCATGTAGATTTCCCACTGATCAAGCTGAGCCAAGCACCACATGGCTGCTGCTTGCAGCGCCGCGAGTTCACCGTGGTAAGACCGGGTGTCGGTAACATGTGTCGGTGGCAGCTCCGACAGCCATCCTACACTGGTCAACCGGGCCGCTTCCCAATCAACTCGGTACCAGCGGTGTCCGAACAGGCCCCAGACGATAAAGGCCCAGGACCCAGTGCCAGCGCCGCTACCATCGGTGGCAATCAGGAGTTCGTCAGGAACCCCACCTGCCCATAACGGATAGGCATTCCAAGACCCGTGATATGCCCACGGCAACTCCTGCGGGAGCTCTGAGTGCTGTCGCCGGGAAAGCCAGGTCGAATGCATGTCGGCCTGAAGTCGGCAAACATCAGTCAAATCGGCGACCCAGTGATCATGCTCTCGCTGCCATGACGGGGCTCCGTACGCCGAAAGATAGACACCGAGGATAACTAAGCTCCAGCTAGCCAAGCACCCACCCCGGCGCCCGTGAACCCCGAGACGTGGGAGCATCAGACAGGAGAAGCACCCAAATCTAAGCAAGGCCCCAGAGGCTGCCGGTCGACGACCCCAGCTTTTACTGTTGAAGGGCAACGGGACGTGGGCGGAATCCGGTGGCTCCCCGTCGTCAGAAGAGACCGCTGGGGTCGCGCTGTCTCCGGACGGCTGTCCCGGCCTCCGCGGGAGGGTGCGCGAGGTCCGGAATGCTTCCTCGGTTGAGTCTAGAAGGTCGGCGAGGAGGCAAAGGTGTAGGCCGTCACAGCAATGGGTGCGAGAAGGGCAGGGCCACCAGGCGTCCGGCCAAGACAAAAGAGCAGGGTGAATGGAGCAGGCGTGTGCATGCCAGCGTTGGGGACCATTCAGAGGCACCACCGTGGGCAGTATGTCAGACCGGCGGTGAAGGAAGACAACCCCTAAGCCCTCAAACGTGAGATCCTGGCTCCAGAGTCCGCGACATTGTGCGTCAACCGGGTCGTCGAAACGCACCGGGATGTGAAAAGGGAGGGACGGCCCCCATGCATGCCCGCTAACCGCCAAGAGGTCCCCGTCATTTAGGAAGACATTGGCATCGGCTGCAGCGGCAGGGCCTAGAGCTGGGTGGTTCCCCTTGACTGTTTGCGAGGTTGGGAAGTAGCCTCGCAACACTCGAAGTAACAGCCTTTTAGATATGCGCCCGGGAAGAGTGATTACTACTGGGCCGGGGGACCCTAACGCAAGGATGTTGGCTAGGTCATTGGCCATAGCCCGTGGCACCCAATGCACATCATGATCATCTAGCTGGGGTCGCACCCGCGTGAATCCGTGAGCCCACAACGGTTCCAGCTGATAAAGGGCCCGTTCACTGACAGCCGGATCACCGCATAACACCGGACCAAGGCGCCCCCGGTGAGGACTCCACAACCAGTGTCGCACTCTCAGCCCTTGCGCGTCGGCGGGCCTAACAGAAACACTAGCTGGGAGGTGAGCGCTAACCAGAAGAAAAGCGCACAGGCGGTGGTCGAGAAGCGTACACAATCCCAACGCCCAGAGGCCGAGCAGTTTGCCGACACGACCTGCCGCAGATCTGGCATGGTGCGGGAAATGGAGAATGTCCCCGTCGCGCAGGGGTGGCCAGTCGGTCGCCCGATCGGGGACACCTAACAGGCAGGTAGCTCCTACTCTAAGCCCCCATGACAGTGCGAAGGCCCTTGGAGTGACACGGGCATTAACACTCCAGCAAGTGCCCTGTAGCTTGTCACCAACCAGCTCTTCTACAATAATGTGGCAATGGATCTCGTCCTCAGACCTGAGACACAAGTGCACATCATGGGAATAGGCCCATGGGACAGGTACCCAGCACCCCGGGTAACGCTGCTGGAACTCTCCAGTAAAAGTTGCCTGGGAGGCGATCCAGCGGCTCCCTGGTGGCATAGTAGTGCGAAGCGGTCGGCTTCCTGGCGCCCACATGACAACTGGTAAGGCGCATTCACACTGGAAGTCCAAGGACCATCTTGCTGCGGTGCGAACCGCCAGACCAGTGATGAAACGCGGCGGATCGTAGCTGGACAGACCGCCGGGCCCTAAGGCCAAAACCACATCGCCGTCGCGCCAGTCAACCGCGTCATTGGGTCCGGAGCAGGCTGCCGCGGCCTGTGGGGGCCGACGAACTGTCGAGACAGCGCCCGGCCCGAGCTGTTGGAGCAGAGACCGCAGCCAGTTGGTATCAGTGCGCCTCGGTATGATCAATGGTAGCTGCCAATCAGGAGATACGACCATAATGCACACAAGCCGAGGGTCATCCGGCGCCGGAACGAAACAGAGATGTGGTGACCAAAGCGCCGGCCACAGTGGCATGATCTGTGTGTGCCATGCAGGACCCCGACTGGACAAAGCGATAGCCACTTCATCCACCGTAGAGTCGGGGTTGATGGGCAGAGGTTCTGTATCAGCCATAAATGGGGAGAACAGGCGGGCAGTGCCCTCTGGAGCCACGGCCTCGTGGCAAGCACGCTCATGAGCTTGTAAGCGCCACGGAAACATACCAACGTTACCCGTGTCAGCAGCCTGCGACTCTACTGGGGGCACCAGCATAGCATCAACGTTAGCTGCGACACCGAGAATGACTATTGCAACGAAGTGAGTCTGACTCCGGGCTAAACCAAGGGCAGTAAGGAGGTCCGCAAGCCGAGACCGGGCGGACGCGCGGTTCACAGGTACAAGAACGTCGCCATCCCGGAGGAGGCTATCAGGCGCTTTCAGGCGCAAATCAGGGCGCAGTTGCCATCCGCCGGGAACGTGGTGGCCCGGCCCTCCTACCGAGATCAACCTGCATTCCGTTTCCGGTGTCCCTGTCGGGTCATGCAGGATAACCTGTGCTTCGCACTGTTCGGTTCTGCGAACAAAATGGCACTCATACGGCTGAAGGCAAGGGACAGGCACTATCTTTGGAGTCAAGGGCTCGCCCCGCACTTGCGCGAAATGACACCCCGCAGGAGTCCATACGCTGCCCTTCTCTACCCAATACCTTTGGCATTGCTCAAGAGGATTGTCGGTGTCCTGCCAAACATAGATCCAGCCCCCACGCCGGACCCGAAAACGTGCATGCCACAGGTTGAGATGGTTAAGATGGTACAGTTCGTGTACCGATTCATCCGGCCGGGCTCGGAAGGCGCGATTGAAGTAATTGACTTCCAACAGAACCGTGTCACCGTCTCGCAGACGTAACTGTGCATCTGGGGGCATCTGTGGGTGTTGTAAGGCAGGGGGCAGGCTAAGGCGGTCGCCCGTCGCGCCTAGGAACCGGCGGCAGCACTCAAGGAGGGTGTGTAGTCGGCAGACCCTCGGGACCAGAACGGCCCTGATGGTATCCCCCGCCTGAACAACAACCGAGGCTAGTCCGCTGCCAGCTATCGGCAAAACCACACCGGGGCTCGTGATGCGACTCGGGCCTAGGACAACATGACCCCTAACCCAAACACCACTACAGGACTCAACCATGGACTGCAGCGCAGAATGTGGAGTGCTAGCGTCAGAACGCACACAACTGCTCCATCCGCGGAACGGGCATAAGACATGGTAGTCCCACCGTTGGTCCGACACTACATCGGCAAGAGGATGTGGCATTTCAGGCCGCCACCGTCCCACCAGTGCAACAGTGCAGTCCTCGTCCGAGTCACTCTGGCGTTCATTGGATCTGGACCTCTCACGAGCTGCACTGCACGCCTGTAGGAAAGGAATCAAAAGAACCGTAGCCGGAGCCAGGCGGCTGCCTGTGCTAAGCCCTAGGAGGGAGGCAACAAACAGTAAGTAGACGTGGGTTCGACAACCGCTAGCATCCCAGGCAATCAGATCAGTCTCAGTGCCCGAGTGATCGAAAATAACATCTCCATCTCGGAGAGTCCACCGATCAGTAACGCGCTCCCTGGCGACACCAAGTGGCCCAAGCCTGGGGGCCTCCAGACCTCTGTCGGCACCAAACACGGCCGGAGAGACAATCCGACCGGTAGACTGGGCTAGCAATTCACCGCCACTCTCGACCAGAATATTAGCCGTATGCGAGGCGTCTGACGCCTGTATGAGATGGATCCATTGACTAGGGCTCCACACAACCGGAACCCATGACCCCGCAAAGGAACGCCGAAAGTCGCCGTTGAAAGAGAGCACCGCCGGGTCCCAAACAGAGCCGGCTGGCACGGTGTATCGGATTGGTTGAGGGGCAGTCGGCAGCCAGAGGAGGATTTGGAGAGGGAAACTTAAGTGTATCCGGCGTGTCCATAAGGTGCCATCCTTGAAGGCGACAGGACTATGAGGCCAAACTTCGCGTGCATCTTCTCGGCAAGCGAGAACATCAAGCACGTCACCTGTGCGGAGAAGCAGTGGGGCACGAGGCCGGACCAGCCGCGCGGCGTGGACTGCAGGTGGGAAGCGCACCTGGGAGACTTCCCAAGGTGTGTTGTATTGGACGGCTCTGCAGATCTGATCATACTGCACGAGGGCAGGGACAATCAAGGACTTTTGAGCCCCCTGAATCCGAGCCACCACACATACGAGGCCTGCTGACTCACTGATTGCCGGCACAAAGGTGAGCCTATCCATCCGGTCGCTCGGCCAGACAGGAAAAAGCCGAGGTATAGCTGGATCATCAGACAGATAGCGTTGTGCAAGCTCATCCAAAGTTAAGGCGCCAGCACCATGGAAGACCCCTTGTGGACCGCACCATGGGCACAAGTACAGGGTACGACAGGCCCTGGTACCACTTATGTGGTCCATGGACTGGGAATGGCGAGGCAGCCGCCACGGGAAATGTCCAAGAGAGTATTCGACTCGACGAGGTTCGACGCTATGTTGGCAAGGTCCCCCTATAAGAGGCAACATAACAGCCCCGAGGAGAGGAAATCGGAGCCCCAAAAGGAAACTAAGTACCAACGGCATACACAGAGGGGCCGCTTTTGAATTGACGGGCTGGGGAGGCGGCGGCCCGAAAGGGCCCATGTCAGCATGTAGGCAATCGCCATCTCGCAGGTGGATGGGACGCTCCGGATCCCGACCAGTAGAGTACGGCGTGCGAATGCGCCCACGCTGGCCTCTGACCGAAACCTGGAGACCTCTACCCCTGATGATCGAGCGTGGGAGACACCGAGGATAGAGTGCTTCTCCCGATCGTATCAAAACTGACACCTGGGAAGAGTCGGCTGCTGCCGGGATGAGATGGATCGCCGCGGCGTCCGGTTGCGGTTGCACACTAACCAGAGGTTGCCAGCCCCGCCGTGCCGAGTAGTCTCGCAGCATCTCTTCGAAGATAAAGCCCGTGCCAATACAGGTCGTAAGCAATTCACAGCTGGCGCCCCGCGCGAATGGGTCGTGAATGGTGATGGGACACCCGTATGGGATGAAAGGGGAAGGGCGAGGACCTAAATTGACTCCTTGCATGTGAGCAGCAACGCGGCGCTGAATCACCGGGATAAGGGTGCGATCAAAGGGATCCACTGGTGCAGGTCACCTTGTATCGGGACAGCGGTGCTTGCGCCGGTATCATCGCTGGCTCTGACTGTCATCGCCATGCCTTCGCCGTCGATGGTAGTGTCGGGCGTGGGCGGCAGCACGCCACTGTAGGAAGGGGAGCTAGGTGGCACAGGCTCACTGGGTTCCGGTGCGTCCTCCTCGGCGGCATGTACTATGGTCCCAAGGAAGACCCCTAGACCGAAAAACCTACCTCCATGACCCCCAAGGACCGCGAGGAAGGCAGGGTGGAGATCGGCGTTGTGCCGGAGCGTGGTTGCTGCTCCTCCCAGTGGTCAACCTGAGCCCAGGCATCAGGAGTGCTGTTGGCAGCTCGCACGGCTGATGTAGGGCCTTCATTGCGGCCCTCGGGTGCTCGGGAGGCCTCATTGAAAACTCCTGCTTCCTCGAGCCTAGTGGTAAGGATGCTGAGCTGCCTGGTAACTGTATCAAGCTGAGCAGCAACAGCCGCGCTAACTGCCGTTGCAGTGCTTCTGGAATCCGGAGCGGATGCTGACGGGTCAGGAGGGGGTGCCGCAGTCCTTCTCGGCGGCTCGCGAACCTCCGGGGTTCTATTTCTGAGCGACCGATAGAGAATGGCCGGTTCCATCGATGGCCCGCGACATATATCATATTCAAACTGCGGCACCCAACAGGATTCTGGAGGAGAGTCCCATGTAGAGAATCCGGCACTGCTAGGTTGAGACATCCGAACCAGCGAGATGATCGCCCCATGTGGGGGAACTGGGAGCTGTGTGCCGTACGGAAAGACCCGGCCGCAGTGGTGAACCCCAAATGCTCGCTTAAGGAAGAAATCGCCCCCAAACGCCTCAGCAGCTTGCTGTGCAATAAATGCCCAGTCGAACCCTGGCGCTACAACTGCCACGACCGTGCCCCTACCGCGAAAGTGCAGTAACCAGAAAGGGGTGGGCGGTGCCACACCAGATGGGAGGTGCAACAGATGACCCACACATTTTACCGTGCGAGGAGTGGTCCACACAAAATCGCCCTCAGCGGCCACCCCACGTTGCGTAAGGGCAACCCAACCCGCTAACTGGGTAGGGTCGGGGTTGTCAGAATATGGCAGTTCAAGAGGTGCACAGAGAGTGTGTGTCCAAACACGCATTATCGCAGGGGGCTGCGCAGGTTGTGTGCCCCAAGCCGGTCCCGAAGTAACCTGGTCTCGAACGGCGAGAGTGGCCGGTTGTCCGGGAACCAAAGGCATGCCACCGCAGCCTAAGCTCCACAATAGCACCAGCAAGATATGCCGTCGCATAGGGCCGGCTCCGCTGAGGGACGTGACAGTGTTGGCGGTGCCGATGGCAACTTCGGCCAGGACAAGCCCTCCAGCAGTGAGGTATCCGGTGACCCGTGAGAGAGGCCCTCCTATGTAAGCGCGAGCCCCTTGAGGTAGTGTGGCCATGTTGGCAACCTCTGAAGAAGTAATGAGCCCAGCGAGGTGACTGGGATTCTATCGGTGTCCTCATACCAGAGAGCAACCGGCCGTAACAGTTCCCTAGCTAGACCATCTCGCACAATCCACCAGATAATGCCTCCCACCGGGATGGAAAGCACCTCAACAATGGATGCCTGAGAGTCAAAGGCCACATGCAGCCTATGCTCCGCAGCGCGATGGCCGGCCGCGGCTACCAATTAAGCAAGTTGCCCCGTTGTGACTCGTTTGGGAACCTCAAAGAGAGTAGGGCCCCCAAGCGGAGTCCAAACGATCACCTGGGCGGTATCGAAAGGAGCAAATTGTGTCACGTGACGCCGAAGCTCCTCAACAGAAGTTGCAAAGTGCGTGTGACGACACGCGAGGTCATGGCACCATGATTGACAAGTGGCGGCTTCATCGCCAGACTCCAACATAATCACAGAGGAGTTCGAGTCGGAGTCGGGAGTAGAGGGCGGGCCTCGATTACGTGCGGACCATGCAGGTACCCCCAGAGAAACAAGAAAGGCCCCGAAATGCAATCTTTGTGAACCCCGCACACTCAACAGGGCCCCAATATGCAGCAGAGGTGACGGCCCGAAAACAGCGCTGGAGGATCGCAGATCTTCATTGAAATGGGCCGCCGTAGAGTCTGCATCACGGTCCCCCGCGTAATCATACGCGCAAGTAGTCAGGCTCGGGTCTCGGCCGTCTAGGAGCAGGTGACCACAGTGACCGGCAAAAGGCCCAAGGTCAGCCGGCCATGTCCATGCACTGTCCTCACTGTGTAGGCTGCTGCCGGGCAGATCCCAAGATGTGAGCCCAGCGATTTCAGAAACATATTGCCAGGTAACCTCGGCGGTGCAGGCCCCATAGACCCAGTGCCCTATCCTAACAGCCCAGAGCTTAAAGTCCTGGCGGCAAGGTATGGTACAATGAGTGCCCATGTGTGGGCAGGACAGGTGGAACAAGGTTCCACTGAATTGAAGGCCCGGTGCTGGAGAGCATCCTTGCGCACGGGTGCGCAAAGGGAGCGAGGCGGAGAAGACAGGGGAAGCTGCTGCCGGCCAGATGCGGGGTGCGGTCTGCGTAGCGACATGATGGCGTTCTGGGGGAACAATGTTTGTTCCCCTAGGAGGAGCCTCCAACCTGAGAACATGCAGCGGAGGCTCGGCGTCCCAGGCCAAACTCCAGCCAAAATCATGCGCCCTACCAAAATCGAGTCCCAGTTGATAACTCTGGACTTGGAAACCAGCCTCGGCGCCGGTGGTGACGTTAGCAGAATGGTGCAGGACCTCCGGGTTTCGTGCAAAGACAGCAGCCCAAAGGCGACCATACACGGGGTGCCTTGCCAACATGCGGCACGAGGGCGGCTGAGTGCCAAAGGCATCGCACGTACAGACGATGGGATTCCCCTCAGAGTCATCAATATCGGTGAGCACAACTGTGACCGTGCTGTACCCAGCTCGCGGAAGGCAGAAAAGGTCAACGGCCGGCCGGCGAAGTGGAATTCTATGTAGACCGACCGCTGAACACCGAGCAGAACCCCAGATGCCACAAAGCTCCTGGTGCAGTGAGTGAGCATCAAAAGACCGGGGTACCTGTAAGCAGGTGAGCTGCGAGTCGGCTGTGGTGACATAAACACAGACACTAGACGCAAGCCATCGAGCTGCCGAGGAGCCGGCAACGGGAATAGAAATCTGGCCTACATCTTCACGAGGCAACTCATCATCCTCGTATGCCCGGAGGACATCTCCGTGTCGTACCCCGCGGCCAGGCTGGACCTCTAAACGGAAAGAGATCCCAGGTTCGAGAAGGTTGAGGATGGAAAGCACCGACCGTCCAAGAGCATCAGGAGGCACATCGACACAGATGTATCGGCCACCAGTGTCGAGCATGACAGTTAGATGGGTGCGATCCCGGGGTGGGGCAACGAAGTGTACGCACCTGCGCAGGGGGTGCGGTGACACTAGAACAGCTGGCCCTCGTCCGAGGCGACCTGTGCATTGCTGGAGCAGCTCTCGGAACTGGTGGAAGGGTCGATCTCCTTGCAGGTAAAACCGATATTCGTTTGCTGGACTGGCAACCGAGAAACAGAACACCTGTGGATGCGTGCCCGGCACGCCGCTGGCAGACGCCCAAGAGAGACGCGTGAGGGAATCCGGATGAGATAGACGAGATGCCAGTCTCCCATGGGCTTGCACGTCTGCTAAGCCCGTAGCAGGGGTCATAGCAAGAGTTTCGCCCGGGTCCTGGCTGACTTGGAATGGTACTCCTTCCTGGTACCCGGGAAACACCGCGCCAGAAACAAGGAAACTAACCCCAAGGAAGAGGCCCGGCGACCGACCTATAACCACAAGAGGCAAAATCCATAACCCCAACCTAAATGCCATCGAGCTGATCCTGAAACATCAAAAGGAGATGGAACATCTTCAGTCGATGCAGCCTCGTCAGCCGATGGCTCAGGTTCCACGATAGCGGGACTATAGCCTGCAGCGACGTTAACCCGACGATGGACAACAACCAGAGGCAAAGGAGGGGCTCCGTGCAGTGCGACAAACGGGTTAACGACACTCTCTCGATGCAGAACCTGGAGCTCCCCTGACATGAGCTGTGAAGTCAAGGGGCGGCGTGTGTCAGGGTCGCCTGAGCGACTCACTGCTGCCTGAATGCGCATCGCCGGTGTATCATAGAGGCTCGCTCCAAAGACATGCAGTTCTCCTCCGAGTGGGCGGAGGTCGACCAAAGCTGGGGGCCGTCCATCACGGCACCTCAAGGCCACATATTGCAAAGGAGGCAGGTTGTCCAGCGGCGGCAGGACGCGTGCGAAATGCAAAGTGAGAGACGGTCCTCCAGGCACGGCTGTCAGAAAGGCTTGCAAAACAGCAGTCCTTAGGGTAAGATGGTCTGCGAACGAGGGTGCCTGGGTAAACAAAAGACCATTGTCATACAGCACCACAGCATTGTTGCCATCCGCAGCAAGGTATGAGGACTCGGCAACATGCGGTAGTGGTAGGCTCACAGCGAACCTATCGTCTACTGTAGCGGCAGACTGCAGAGAGTCGCCCGCAGTGGGCACGAATCCGTCCGGGGGAACTGGCCACACCTGGAAAGCATCAATTGCAGGCAGCAAGAGCAGAGAGGCGGAAGGCAAGAACCAACCTCGGCTTGTGCGGAGCAACACAGGTTGCTCAGGGGCCAGACCCTGCAAACGGAGAGCAGTCCGCACAACATCGACACACGGAGCATCCCTCCTAGCGGTAACCATTCTAATGGTACCTCCCAAGGGCCTTAGGTCAATCGGGATCATACACTCGTGCCAGGCAAGCCGACGTGGTGTAAAGACCACAGCTTCAGGCGGCGTCGCGGGGAGTGACTCCTGGAGAGGGTGGACACTCCACTCATGTAACTGCAAGCCTAAAGCCGTTGCTACCATGCTGTGTAACACTGGACCGTGCGCCCTAGCATCTGCGAGAAGCAGCAAAGGGGTTTGAGAGCACTCGGCGCAGTAGACTCCGACATCTCTGATGGGGTATGGAGGCGAGGCCATTTGCTCATGCAGGGGCAAGTTGACTGCTCGGGCGGGCATCAGTGCATCGGTGCTGTCCGTAGGTACGACCCTGCTAGTCGTGTAGACCGGCTGTCCATGCCAACTGCCTTGTTGGAGGATTTGCACTGCGGACACGTGCGGAGTGCAGACCAGCCAGATGCACAAAAGGCCGCGCAGTGGCTGGGCCGAAGGGCGGCCTAAAACAGTGTGTCTGTCCTTAGCAGCACGGAAGGAGTGGCCAAACCGAATATGCACAGTGCGGAAGACCCTGTTCGCCTGAATCAAGCCGACAGCCAGGCTGAATGTCCTAACGACATGAAGGCTGGCTCTCAGTGCGCATCTCGGAACTAGACAGATACGGTGGGCTAGGACAGAGGCACCAATGCCAAGGCAGCGAGGGAGGGCACCCCATTGAATCCGTCGTGCGAGAAAACTGACTACAAAAATGTATGTACACGCACTACAGAGGACGTATACAAGACGAATGCATGTACAAGCCTCAGCCAGAGCGCTCAGATCTCGCCGAAGTCCTCCGCCAATGACGGTGTCACCAAATATGGGCATGGGATGCTCAGGAGTGGCCTCATCCCGTCTGACATCTGGCGTGGAATCATCCCCCGACACTCGCACCCATGCTCCAGGAGAAGGGAAGGGTACAGCCACTCCTGCGCGGTAGCCGGTCCATACTGCTGAAAGTCCAGGATATTCCCCAGAGTCACATGGATTGCTACCAAAACACCCTGCTGGATACCTGGTAAGGAGCCCGGGCAGAGTCGCAGGCGCTGCAGCAGTTCCTGACAAGATGTCACCATCCCAGGGAACTGTTCGTCCTGGGCCTGCTGCACAAACGCCCCAAGCGTCTTCCAGAAGGTCGCTGCTTCTGCCTGGACGTCCTCGATCGCCGTGTCGTCGGTCTGGAGTGGCCACACGGCGTCTTGTTCCGGGGAAGTGTCGAGTTCCCCAATAAGGTCGCCACCATTGGCGACAACATAGGCCGCCGCCTGTAGCCAGGCGGCGCGCCAGGACACTTGGCCTTCGCCAACCCTCTCGCCACCACCGTCGGGTATCAGCTCCGCATCGTCTGAAAAGGTGGTGATAGCTGGTCGGCGGATTGTATCCGGAGTGCGACCGGTGGCCTCCATGCACCACGGGCCCGCAGACAGTGTCGGAGCAGAACCATCGGGGGCATCGGCGGTCTCCTCGCGGCGAGGGCTCTTGCTGGGGCGGTGAGGTACGGCCGCACCCCCCCGTTTCCAACGACGATGCCGGACGAGGTCGCCTGCATCTGGAGTAGCACCACCTAGCATGGGTGTGCCACCTGGTTCTCGCCCGCCGAATCCTTGCAGCCCAAAAGCTCCGGTGTCCTGGCCTGCACCAGTGGAAATAGCACCAAAAGCGCTGCCGCCGCCGGGAACTGCAGGAGCCAAGCTCAGAGGGCCGTGGCCGAATCCAGTAGATGGTGCCGCCAACTGCGAGACCCCGGGAGCAAAGGAGCCACGATCCCAGGCAACACCATCTGGCTCTGCACCACGCTGAAAGCTCGGAGTGATGCAGCAATCCGAAGGATCTCGTTCGACTGGGCCTCCGGCCAAATGGGCCCAAGCCTTTGGGAAGCCTGCGCAATTCGCTCTTCTGTAGTCGAAGACGGGAGGTCGGCCTGTATAAGGTCCTCGTCTACCTTTGCGCTCAGAGCTTGCACTCTCTGGACCAAACCGACAAGGTGGAGTCCAATGGCACTTGTCCATTCTGAAAGTGCCTTGCTGAGCTCGTCTTTGGCCTTGACGTCTCCCGCAATGCGCTTTGATAGTTTGTGGGATGCCGTCGCCGCCTTGGAAATCTGCTGTTCTACCGACATGTCTATGGCGACAGCTGCAGGGGACGACCACAGATCCTGCGTAGATCTGGCCGTAATTGCCTGAAGAGCTGTCATCATTGCTGCCGAGAAGCCTGTGCCGAGGCCTCCTGGCCTTTCCCTCTCCCCTTCGCCGAAGCCTTGGCATCCGGCTTCGCTTTTGGTGGCATAGTCCCGTGGTGGTTGGCAAGCAAGCGCAGCTCTGCGCGGGTCGCTCGCCCTTGCTTGGCTTTCTTCCGTAACTTGCGGCGCTGTCGCCGCTCTCGCCTGTGCCACGAAGGACTCGCTGTCCTCGTGGCAAAGGGGAGGGCCTAAATCGGCCCTCGCTCTATCCTCAGATGGAGGAACTCCTCCAATCCACAGCAGACCACACCCAATCAGGAAAAGAGGAAGAATAGGTGTGTAGCGGCCTCCGCCGCTCATAAGAAAGGCCAACAGCCTATTTAAAGGCAGTGTTGAGCAAATACCTACGCGGACGGCCGAGGCAGCGTACGCGCAGGCAGAAGATAGGCGCGGAGCCGCCTCCGCGTGGCACCACTTGCGGGTGCAGGAAGCTGCCCTCCAGGCAGGCTTCGGCGCTCAACGGCTGCGGTTGAGCTGGGGTCGGGAAAGGCTGCTATTGCCGAGAACTCCTAGAGGAGACAAGGGCAAAAAGAAGCTTGGGCCGCGACGCCTCTAAACCCTAACCCTAGATCCGAAATACTAAACCATCCCGAATCCCCAAACCCCAAAACCCTAAACCCAAAGCCATTATGCGGATCGTGAATCCTAAATTCTAAACCCTAAATCCTCAACCCTAAATCCCAAATCCCTACACCCCAGAGCGCAAAAAAAACCCGAAAACCAAAGCCATTATAGGGATCCTGAATCCTAAATCCTCAATCCCAAACCCCTACACCCCCAAGCCCAAAACACCCAACACCAGAGCCAAGCTCAGCGGGGTCTCGGCCGAAGGCTCAAAAGGCTGAAGGTGATGTGGATGTTTCCGAAATTCCGCTACCTTCGGGTTCCTGTAAACGCTTGCTATAAGGGTTCATTAAAGGGATCTATAAGGTTTCAAAGGGTTCAAAAAGGGTTTAGGGTTTCGAGCTTCCAAAAATTAGGGGTACCTTATCTTGGGGGTCCTTATAATAAGGACAACTACTACTTTAGGCTACCACTTTAGGACCCCTATCTTCGGAATCTCCCATGTAAAAACCGTAAGACTGTTTGTATGTTTATAAGGGGCTCCCTTAATTAAAGGCCTGTGTAAGGGTACTGTAAGGGTTTAGGGGGTTTGGATACCTGATTAAGAAACCTGGGGTTCTTTTTATCAGGCTTCCTTATGTGAATACTACTATTTCGGGGTTATAGGCCCAGCGTTCCTTAGTCAATTTCCTACATTATTCAATGAGGACACCCTGCAAACCATCTCTTGGAAAAGATCCTTCAGTAACCTCAGTACTCGGCTGAAAGTAAATCCCTAAGCCCTAAACCAACATCCCAAACCCCCAAGCCCCAAAACCCTAAAGCCAAAGCCATTATAGGGATCCTGAAGCCTAAATCCTAAACCAACCCTACTACAAGCTATAGTAGGACCCCTACTATAATTTAAAGTATATTCCTTAATTATGGGATATTGGAGGCTCTGGGAACCCTACTACAAGCCCTAAGCTTTGATCCCGGATCCGCAGCCCTGAAGCTCCCAATCGCCCGGCGGAGCGGTTTTTTTTTCCTAGGTCTGGCCCTCCCCGGCTTGCTTTCCTAAGTCTGGCCCACTGGTTGTGGTTGCCAACAGCGGCAACTGCGGTCTTTGCTGCATCAAGCTATTGGGGAACTAGAATTCGACGGCTCTGGTTCTGCTTCTGTTTTGCATGAAGCTATTCGGGAACTACAACTTGCGGAGTCTGATTTTGCTTGTGTTTAGCATGAAGCTGTTGGGGAACCACAAGTTGCAGGGTTCGGTTTTCTTTGTGTTTTGCATGAAGCTATTGGGGGTTTCGCATTTGCAGGGATCGGTGTTGCTTGTGTTTTGCATCAAGCTATTGGGGAACTACAATTCGCAGGGTCTTCTTCTGCTTGTGCTCCCAAAGCGAACACGTCTGGCTTTCGCCCTTTTGCCTGTCGGTGAAGACGTTTCATTCGTGAGAAGAAAACAGGGGGGTTGCGGGGGGGCGGCGCAGACCCCCCCATTTGCAAACCTTCCAACATGAACTTTGTTTTGCTCGGTTTGCCCCCCTAAAGCGATTTCATGTGGCTCGACAACTCAAGAAAGCGGGCAGTTTGCAGTCAAAAAACGGGGGGGTTGGGGGGGGGGGCAGCCCCCCCCCCCCCCCCCCCCCCAATTTGCAAACCTTCCAACATGAGCTTTGCTTTGCTCGCTTTTGCCCCCCTAAAGCGATGTCATGTGTCTTGACTAGCTAAGAAAGCGAGCAGTTCATGTGGCTTCTCCCTCTCTTCGTTTTCCAGAGAGACTCACGTTGTCGTTTTACGTTTGTTTTCTTGTTTCTTGCTCTTGGCTTCCCAAAGCGAATACATCTGGCTTGAGCCCTTTTGCCTGTCGGTGAAGACGTTTCATTCATGAGAAATCTTCTATTCTTCGAATTTAAAATCCCTGAAGTGTTTTCGTGTGGCTTTGTCCTTGTTGTGCGTTTAGAAAAAAGCGTCTTTAATTCATTTCATCGACAGCTTAAGAAACCGGGCAGTTTGCAGTCAAAGAAGCGGGGGGGTTGGGGGGGGCGCAACCCCCCCCATTTGCAAACCTTTCAACATGAGCTTTGCTTTGCTCGCTTTTACCCCCCCCGAAGCAGTTTCATGTGGCTCTCCCTCTCTCCGTTATCCAAAGAGATGCACGCTTTCGTTTTACTTTGTTTTCTTGGTCTCCCCTCCCAAAGCGAGCACGTCTGGCTTTCGCCCTTTTGCCTGTCGGTGAAGACGTTTCATTTGTGAGAAAGTTGACCTGCTTTGCTTTTTTAACCGCCTGAACGTTTTCGTTGGGGGGGGGCGAAGCCCCCCATTTGCAAACCTTCCAACATGAGCTTTGCTTTGCTCGCCTTTACCCCTTTACCCCCCTAAAGCGATTTCATGTGGCTCCTCCCTCTCTTCGTTAGCCGAAGAGACGTATGCTTTCGTTTTACTTTGTTTTCTTGTTCTTGTCTTCCCAAAGCGAGTACGTTTGGCTTTCGTCCTTTTGCCTGTTTGTGAAGACGTTTCATTCATGAGAAACTTCATCTTCTTCACTTTTCAAACCCCCCGGAAAGCGCGCAGTTTGCAGTTCAAAAAGGGGGGGTTGGGGGGGGCGCAGCCCCCCCCATTTGCAAACCTTCCAACATGAACTTTGTTTTGCTCGCTTTTACCGCCCTTAAAACGATTTCATGTGGCTCCTCCCTTTCTTCGTTATCCAAAGGAGACGCGCGTTTTCGTCTTACTTTGTTTTCTCGTGTTCTTGTTCTTGCATTCCCAAAAAGAGTACGTCTGGCTTTCGCCCTTTTGCCTGTCGGTGAAGACGTTTCATTCACGAGAAACTTTATCTTCGTCGCTATTTAAACCCGCTGAAGCGTTTTCGTGTGGCTTTGTCCTTGTTGTGCGTTGGAAAAAAATCGTCTTTAATTCATTTCATCGACAGCTTAAGAAAGCGGGCAGTTTGCAGTTAAAAAAACACGGGGGTTGGGGGGGGGGCCTTTCCTTCCATTTCCTTTCATTCCCTCTTGCTTTTCTTTCTTTCTTTCTTTCTTCGCTGCTTCCTTGCTTTTTTCCTTCCTTCCTTCCTTCCTTCCTGCTTTTCTCTTTCCTGCCTTCTCTCCTTCCTTCCTTCTTTCCTCCTTCCCTCCTTTGCTCCTTCCCTCCTCCCTTTCGTGCTTCCCTCCTTCCTTCCTTCCTTCCTTCCTTCCTGTCGTGGTTTCGGCTAGGTTATTTTTTTGATCCAAATTTAATTTTTTTGATCCAAATTTAAGTTTTTGTTGATGCCTATCCCCTTGTTGTTGCTGTTGTTGTTGTTGTTGTGGTTGTCGTGGTGGCTGGTGCCGTTGTTGTTGTAGTTGTAGTTGTTGTTGTTGTTGCTGCTGTTGCTGTTGCTGTTGCTGTTGCTGTTGCTGTTGCTGTTGCTGTTGCTGTTGCTGTTGTTGTTGTTGCTGTTGCTGTTGTTGTTGTTGTTGTTGTTGTTGTTGTTGTTGTTGTTGTTGTTGTTGTTGTTGTTGTTGTTGTTGTTGTTGTTGTTGTTGTTGTTGTTGTTTTTTTTGTTGTTGTTGTTGTTGTTGTTGTTGTTGTTGTTGTTGTTGTTGTTGTTGTTGTTGTTGTTGTTGTTGTTGTTGTTGTTGTTGTTGTTGTTGTTGTTGTTGTTGTTGTTGTTGTTGTTGTTGTTAGTGTTGGTGCTGGTGCTGGTGGTGGTGGTGGTGGTGTTGTTGGTGGTTGTTGTGTGTTGCTTGTTGCTTGTTGCTAGTTGTGTTAGTTGCTAGTTGTGTCAGTTGTTTAGTTGTTAGTTGTTAGTTGCTAGTTGCTAGTTGTTAAGTGTTAGTTGCTCGTTGCTAGTTGTTAGTTGTTGGTGTTAGCTGTTAGTTGTCAGTTGTTGGTTGTTATTTGTGAGTTGTGAGTTGTTAGTTGTTTCTTGTTAATTGTTGGTTGTTTCCTGCTTATTGTTCCTTGTTTATTGTTTGTTGTTTCTTGTTTGTTGTTTGTTATTTCTTGTTTCTTGTTTGTTGTTTGTTGTTAGTTGTGTTAGCTATTTAGTTGTTTGTTGCTAGTTGTTTGTTACAGACAGACAGACGGACAGACAGACATGGATACTGCGGCTTCCATCCTACGTATTTGGTTCTTTGGACCCTTCCGTCTAGATGGGCTGGCTGCTTCACAAACCTGCAGGAAAGTTTCGAACGTGGTACTGTTGGCTACTAGAGATCGTAAATGGAAGTCATCAAGGCTACGCGTTCTTGCAGGTTTGAGGGTTTAGGGGTACAGGACCAGGAGAGACCAGGGAACCAGCGGACCAGGGACCAGGGGACCGGAGGACCAAAGGACCAGGGGACCAGGACCAGAGGACCAAAGGGCCAGGGGACCAAGGGACCATGGGACCAGACCTAGCAAGGCCCCCCAGACCAGGCCAGACCTAGGAAAAAAAAACAGTGGACCCCCAATCGCCCCACCCTACAAAAACCAACCCATAAACCCTAAACCCCATAAACCCTAGACCCTAAACCCCATAAACCCTAGCCCTAAACCACATAAACCCTAGACCATAAACCCTAAACCCCATAAACCCTAGACCCTAAACACTAAACCCTAGAGCCTAAACACGAAAACCCTAAGACAAACCACCACGACCTGGAGCCAGTCGTAGCCGGAGCCCACTGGGTCGAAGATGAGAGAGCATAGGCTCCCGGACCTCACAGGGGAAAAGGAGGGGCCCTAGGCCCTTTATTAGGGTTCCTTTAAAGGGATCTTAGGGTTTA